GCTGCAACTGCTGCCTCCTGCTTCAGCTGAAAATGGAACAGACTTCCTTCGTACCCTCCCAAGCACATTCTCTTCTCCAGATTTTTAATTAAGTTATTACAACTGCAAGGAAAGCCACATGGTGTTCATTAGGAAACTCGGCGTGATGCTCTATCGCTGGGATTTCAACTAATTGTAATGATAATCGGAAGCAAAAATGTTTAATCATTAAGGCTTTTTCCAAGCAGAGAAGCTCTTGATCTCCGCCACCAATGAACTAAGAGATTTGGAGAGTTTGTAAGATGTGAAGTTGCTGAATGCCCCATAGTTGATGTTGGAGTTGCATACAGAAAGGTCAAGTTTGGAGACATTCCTATATGGTGCATGCACTTAAAGGCTAAATTAGATGTAACACTAGTGTGTCATTTGAAAGTCCAGCTGGGATTTTTAAATATAATAATAGGAGGCTTGGAAAGATATTTACTGGGATTACAGCTTGTGGAGAGGGGAGGTTTAAACCTTCCTAGCCATAAAAGGCCCTCCCCGCCATGTGGCCACCTTAGGAAAACATGGGGGTGGATTCTACCTGGGCTCCTAACTGGGAAGGAGAGGGTTAAATCTCCCCTTTCCACATGCTCTGGGCCCAATGAAAATCTTTCTTCCATGTCTATTGTTAAGTGTTTAAAACTTGGACGTGCTTTCCAATGATGCATCACATTCAGTTTGATTTTAGGTACCCCCTAGATGGGGTCAAACTCGGCCCTCCAGATGTTTTGGGACTACAACTCCCATCATCGCTAGCTAACAGGACCAGTGGTCAGGGATGATGGGAATTGTAGTCTCAAAACATCTGGAGGGCCGAGTTTGCCTATGCCTGCCCTAGCTGAGATGTGCAGCAAAGGCATACATTCTTGCCAGCTCCACGCTAAAGGGAAAATCCTAAATGGGTTTAAATCTGATTCAAATTCTAAGGCAAACCCAGACTATAGTCTCTGTTGTACAGCTATTAATGGTGGGAAATGCGTGGGGACGGGACAAAAAAATGAGTTAAACAGGGGGAGGCACAAAGTGCTTTATTACAATTAAATGAATATCAAATATAAAAACTCTACTATTAAATACTTAATAGTCCAATTTTAATATGGCAAGTATGATGATGATGATTGATTTATTTATACCCCGCCCATCTGGCTGGGTTTCCCCAGCCACTCTGGGTGGCTGTTCAGCCTTTATTGTCTGAGTCAGTATGCTTCTGAATACCATTTGCTGGAAATCACAGGAGGAAACAGTGCTGATGAGCTCAGGTTATGTTTGCAAGCTTCTGCTGTGAGGACAGGATGCTAGACTAGACGAGCCTTTGACCCGATCCACCAGTGATTTGCAGTAGACCTCTAACAAATTGCAACAAAGTTTTGCCCATTTTAAGCTATTCAAACCAAGAAAGCTTGGGGGGAAGACCAGGAATGGATTTTTGGGGTGACAGGAATGTGAGGTTGGTTCTGGCAATGAAAATAAATTCCTGAGCTGAGAAAGCCTTTTTTAAATTGAGATTTTTATAGTCCCATGGACTGCAAGAAGATCAAACCTCTCCATTCTTAAGGAAATCAGCCCTGAGTGCTCACTGGAAGGACAGATCGTGAAGCTGAGACTCCAATACTTTGGCCACCTCATGAGAAGAGTAGACTCCCTGGAAAAGACCCTGATGTTGGGAAAGATGGAGGGCACAAGGAGAAGGGGACGACACAGGACGAGATGGTTCTCGAAGCTACCAGCATGAGTTTGACTAAACTGCGGGAGGCAGTGGAAGACAGAAGTGCCTGGCGTGCTTTGGTCCATGGGGTCACGAAGAGTCGGACATGACTAAACGACTAAACAACAACAAAATTTGCTCCAATCTAGCAATAAAGATTCACACCTGAAGTAAAAGAAGATGCGAATCCGCATCGCCATGTGGATTCAGATGGTACTTAAGGTGACATCTGTGTTTGGTGCTACCGGTCATATAGCTGGAACTGGTTCAGTCACCAATGGCTGACCACCACTCCATGCGGTCAGCCACATACAGCCTCTCTAGGAAGAACTGTTTGATGAGCATCCTCCTCTCACTGTGACCTTGCTATAGCAGCAAGGTGTCTTGCAGGTACAATTCTTTTGAGGCACACACAAGCATTCTAAAAATACAGGACACGCTGGGCTGAATTTGCAACCACTATAATGCTACAAAAGTCAAAAGTATTACAATAGCAAATTATGCTCACTGGAACGCAGACTGTAACCTATTTAAAGTACCGGGTAGATGAAGGAGAAAGCGTATGATATATGTGTTCCTTACTTGTGGAATGCGTGGAGCGAAGACGATAATCCTTCACTTTGACAGCTGACCTGTTTCTTTCCGATAACAATTTGACTTAGCACAGAGGAGATACTTCTGATATCCTTTGAGCCGAGAGTGTCCTTCTTACATGTGTATCATACTTAACGTAATGTGTGCCCTCAAAGAGAGTGTCTTGAAAATTTATTAGAAATATGCAGTGATAGCTTGACCCTATGCATATTTACCTGGTCACAAATCTCACCCAATTTAATAGGACTTACTCCCAGTGTGTATAGATCTACACAGTCTGACTATCTGGGCTAAGAGCAGAAATAATAAAGGTAACTGGGAATTTTCAAGAATTGTGCCCCTTGTGTTTTTTGCATTGCTTGCGACATGGAATGATAACTCTCTTTGGACCAACTTGGTGATGCACAAAACAAATCCTCGTCAAACACCCCTTTTAACCATATCCTAGGTGGCGCTGTGGGTTAAACCACAGAGCCTAGGACTTGCTGATCAGAAGGTCGGCGGTTTGAATCCCTGCAACGGGGTGAGCTCCCGTTGCTCGATCCCTGCTCCTGCCAAACTAGCAGTTCGAAAGCACTTCAAAGTGCAAGTAGATAAATAGGTACTACTCCGGCGGGAAGGTAAATGGCGTTTCCGTGTGCTGCTCTGGTTCACCAGAAGCAGCTTAGTCATGCTGGCCACATGACCTGGAAGCTGTATGCCGGCTCCCTCGGCCACTAAAGCGAGATGAGCGCCCCAACCCCAGAGTCGGACATGACTGGACCTAATGGTCAGGGGTCCCTTTACCTTTATCCCCAAACTTGGCCTTCCAGATGTTTTGGGACTACAACATCGTCCCTAGCTAACAGGACCAGTGGTCAGGGATGATGGGAATTGGACTCCCAAAACATCTGGAGGACCGAGTTTGGGGGTGCCTGTCCTAGTCTGACACTAACTGGTACATTTGGGGCAGAGGCACCGAGTTTCACCCAACTATGCAGTGGGAGGGCTTGTTGCGTGTGCATGACGTCCCATGTGTGACACACGTGTGACATCACACACGTCGGGAGGAGGCTGCAAGGCCTGATGAAGCCTGCCACCACCACAGAGAGGCCCAGCGAGGCCCTGCCTCTCAATATTGGGGAGCTCAGTCCCATCCCATACCCTTCAGGAAAGGTAGGCACAGCCAAAGGCTGGGAAAGGGCAATCAACAGAGGAATCATGATCCCCAGATTCCAAGCTTTCATTTAAAAAAAAAAAAAGTTTCTAGCATTTGTAGAAGCTGAGACAGAAGGCAAAATATACAAGCACTAGTCTATATATATAAACTAGCCTGTTCTCTCTCACTCCCTTTCAGTATTTTAATCCCCACCTCCCCACCCCCAGTGCCGGATTTACCTATAAGCTAAACAAGCTATAGTTTAGGGCCCCACTCTCTTGGGCCCCCCCAAAAAATTAAAGGAAAAAAAAACCCTGGATGTACATTTCCAAAATATAAGATAAAAAACAAATAAAATAAAACCAACATACAGCAACAGTGTTTTGTGTTGTGTAGGACTCCTATGATGTAGGTAGGAGCCTACATCCTACCTGGGGCCCCGCCTGCTAGCCTGCTCCCTAAAATATCACTAGTTTGCTATTATTATTTATGTTATAGCAAGTTTCTAGAGACTAGGTTATGAGTCTTTGTAAACTGTGTTTCTAAAGGAACTTTTGTTATTGCCAAATGCCAATGTGTTTGCACTATTAAGTTTGTTATGAATAAAAAATCATTTTAAGTTAGAGCTTAATAATTATTTCACTATTCATATACTTATTCTTAATTGTATTTCAGTTCAACAATTACTTTGATAAAATGCATATTTTGTTATGTGCAAATGGCTTTAGATACCTATTAGGTCCGTAAATTACCATATATTCTACATAAAAAACAGCGACAATTGTTGTTGACATAGGACAGCTGGACATAAAAAGGGCCCCATTACCTTCAGTAGTTTAGGGCCTCATCAAACCTAAATCCGGCCTTGCTCACCCCACAAAGATATCACTGATGAGCTGTGTTTTAACTCTAGACTAACTAGAGGTGGAATTTTCTCCTGTGTTTGGGCAAAACTAATCCAAAGTTCAAACAAGAGAGCTGCTGAAGTAATGCAGGTTCCGGTTGTATTGCATTCGAAAAAGGATGTGATCCTGTGTTTACTCCGTAGCTTCCTTTGTGGAATATCAAATTAGGCACTTCATATTCTGTTGGGAATAGAATATTTTCCTGCGTTGGAGACTGTGTGTTTTTTTTTAGTAGCATTAATGGCAGCACTAATGCGCTCACAGAAGGGACCGCATTTGCAGAATCTAACGGCATTACCTGCCGAGTAAAGTGAACCCTTCCAGGCATTACAGGCTATAATTTCATTCCTGGTTTACTAGGCTATCTGAACCACAAATAGATATCTGCTTCAATTTATTCACAGGAGTTAGCAAATCAAATTACAGCTTCTACTGAAACCCTACTGGGGACTTGTTGTTGCGACACACTCTCAGTGGTGATGACGTGTTCTTAATACCTCGAAGGTGGACAGATTGTGCCTTTGCAAGCACTTCACAAAGCAGCTTGCCATTAATCTTGAGAGAGACATCACTTTACTTTGCTTCCCAGGATGACTAAATGGAAATAAATAACCGGGGGGGGGGGGCTCCTCACCTATAGTAGCTGTGCAGAAGGCAGAATTCCAGCATCGCTTTTCTCAGCCTTGAAGCACTGTTACATGACAAGAAAAGTAAAATTATATTTCAAAGGATGGCTTGCCTCCTAGCTGAGGGAGGGGCACTGTTACATGCGTCCGTAGAAACCCCTATATGTGTCCACCAAACGTATGATTCCTAATACTCCATATTGTGAGAGTAACAAAACATTGTGCATAGAGTCAACCATGTGCTTTCTAGTATGTTTTGTTTTTGTAAAGACACTTAGAGTTGCCTGCGCAGAGGGAAGATGTCTAATACACCGTATTTTTCCGTCTATAAGACGCCCCCATGTATAAATGCTCCCTATTTTGGGGGACTGAAATTTAAGAAAATGGGGGGAGATGGCACAAAGTTGTTGAGCTTTTTTATGCAGGGGATTGCACAGAGTTGTTCAGCTTTTTTGGGGGGGGGGTTACCGAGGGTTCTTGAACTTTTTTTAGGGGGGGTGCCGAAAATCGCTCACCCGCACGCATTGCAGAATCTGCTTCTTGTCTGTCCCCTCGCCGGCAGAAGCTGCCAATCGCCCGCCCAATTGCCGCAGTGTCGGCCAATCAACACCACCCATTGATGCAGCAACCCATGACACGCATAATAGCCGCTGACAGCCACGACAGCAACCAATCAAACGTCCACCCTATGCACTACCCATGTATAAGACGACCCCATGTTTTTAGCTTGATTTCTAAGGGGGGGAAACATAAGTCTTACACACGGAAAAGTATGGAATTATTTATTTATTTCATTATGGAAGAGAATGTATCTATTTTCATTGAAGAATTGTTGGAGGCTATGGTAGTAGTAATAAGCTAAGATCCAGAAGGAGAAGACAAAACAATTACAATATTTTCAATGAAAGTAAACGTTTCCTTAAACAAATAAATTCACATACAGATTTGCCAGATGAAAAAATATATATGAAGGAAAGAAGAGTTAACATAATAATTCCCAGTGCTTTTTTCCCTGGGGGGGGGGGGCGCAAGGGGACGCATACCCCTAAACATTTTGTGAATCTTTGTACTTTCGTTCATTTACTGTCTCTATGTTTCCCTATTTGAACTATAAAATGAAGATTTTTCTCAAGTCAAAATGAGAGTACCCCTAAACATTTTTTTAGAAGAAAAAAAGCACTGATAATTCCCCTTGCTTCCCAATGTGAATATAAAGAGCGTATTTCTGCCTAAACATACTTGCACGAAATCCACACCTTTAATGAAACCTAGTGTGATTCTTTGGTCACGCCAGCGCAGTTGCTCACCAAGCGCATCGTGGTAACAGTTCAAGTACAAGAAAGTAGAGGAAGAGCTTCTGTACCGAGAGGAGATGTTTTTTCTAACCACTTTTAAAAGTAATGACTTCGCCCTCTTCGCCGAGAACTTCTGGAGACCTCACTGGAGTCATCTGTGAAGAGGGGTGGATTGTTAAACCTCTCCAGTACATCTAGGCAGGGAATAGGGTTCTCCTAACAACTCTCCATCCTCTTAACAGGCCCCGATAATTCCTTGGGCAAAGTAATGACTTTTTAAAGCAGCAAGATACTGCTCTAAATATACGGTATGAACATGGCCTTGGCTGAATGCCACCCACATTTCCCAAATACAGTGGTACCTTCGTTCTCAAACACCTTGATACTCAAACGGCTTGGTTCCCAAATGGTGAAAACCCGGAAGTAAGTGTTCCAGTTTTCGGATGTTTTTCAGAAGCCGAACATCTGGAGAAGCTGTCGTCTATTGTTTCCGGGGTGCCTGCACCAATCAGAAGCTGCGCCTTGGTTTTTGAACATTTCAGAAGTCAAACAGACTTCCAAAATGTATTATGTTTGGGGCTTTTGTTTCTGCTATTTATTTTGCATTTTTGTTTTTGAGGCTTTTTCGGTTAATTTGTTTTTGTGACTGTGTGGAACCCAGTTCAACTACTGACTGATTGTGTGACTGCAGTACAGTGGTACCTCAGGTTACATATGCTTCAGGTTACAGGCTCCGCTAAACCAGAAATAGTACCTCGGGTTAAGAACTTTGCTTTAGGATGAGAACAGAAATTGCGTGGCGGCGGCACAGCAGCAGCGGGAGGCCTCATTAGCTCAGGGGTGCTTCAGGTTAAGAACAGTTTCAGGTTAAGAACGGACCTCCAGAACAAATTAAGTACGTAACCAGAGGTACCACTGTACATTGTTTATTGCTATCATTTTATGGACCAATGGTCTTGTTAGATAGTGAAATTCATGTTAAATTGCTGTTTTAGGGGTTGTTTTTAAAAGTCTGGAACAGATTAATCCATTTTGCATTACTTTCTATGGGAAGGTGTGCCTTGGTTTTTTAACGCTTTGGTTTTTGAACGGACTTCCGGAACGGATTAAGTTTGAGAACCAAGGCCCCACTGTACATGCATCTCAAGCAGCTAAAAATGGCACTGAATAGAATATACCTGTGGTTGGAAGTAGCTCATGCTTTGAATGTCATGTTTAGAATTGCCAACTGTGGTCCAATGAGAACAACTCCTTTTTTCCACTGTACACCAGCTCTGCTCAGATACCCCATGAAGCAAACGGCATCTGAGTCACCACTTTCAGCTGTACAGATGACGCTGCTTGGAAGCATTGAATCCATATCCCAACTGTTACCCAGTGATGGTTTCTATAGTGATTAAAGACCAGGGAAGAATGCTGGTTTGCTTAAATGTAGTTTTCAGTGGGATGCAGAGTGGGGCAATTGTTATTCTTTATTACTAAGATGACAGATCTCACTTGAAACAGGAACTTTTTACACAAATCCATGCTCATGTGTGCACTTTGTGTCTAAACAAAGCCATAAGTGTACATGACAATTTAAAGGCCTTTCCGCAGAAGGCCATTGGACTGGTCCATATAAAAGATTTCAAAGCCACGTACCTAGCGGTGAATTAATAAATACCAAAAAGCTGCAGGTAACAAGCTCTTTCTGTACAACTAATTATGCAGAAATATGTGGGAAGGTTTTTCTTTTTTTTAGGCTGCATTAATATTATACTCATTTCCTTAAACCCTTAGCTTACCTTTTGCATATAATAATTAACTCCAGAGATAATCTGGCCTTTTATTTCTTCTATAGTAATTTTGTGGTGCAAGTAGAGAACATTTTAGAGAAAGGAGGGCGGTTGCAAGTATTTTTCTAGAAAGAGCCTTTAGAAGAGGTTAGTGAAAGCTAATTGGTTTGCTGGGAAGAATGCTGAATGGGGAAAGCTATATAATTAAGACTGAGCCTCCAATGGAGACCGCTACCAATAGCTGCATTGTGTGGCTGGGTGTGGCTGCTCGAATTGTAAGGTTAGTTTGAACCTTTCATATTGCAGTGTTGTTATACTGGGGAACATGCTGGGGTTATAATACTTAAATCTATGACAGAGTACTTCTGAACTGGCTCATTAGTAGGACTGTTCTTCAGTTGTCATGTCTGCTTTCTGTGGAAACTAAATAACTTGCTTGACTTCCTGAGCTCTTGGTGTCAATTATACATTTCCTGCAAAAGTATCAGTAAGTTGATCTAACGGTAACGAGGCTGCTAAGTGTCCTTTGGATTTCTTCTCTTCCCGTTAAACGGTACAGTTTGGTTAAAACATTTCTTCTTAAAACGCACCATTTAAAAATAAAAAACATGTAGCCCCGTATTGGAATCCTTGTCATGACAAATGCCAACGGTAGTTCATCCACTGGAGTCCTTAGGAACATGGCTTTCTCCTAATTTTGGTTAAACCTTAAGAGACCTCTGTTTACGACAAGGCACCCACAATTTCACATTCTTCTAGGCTTGCTGTAACTGAACACAGAGCAGTGCTTATTTTCTGTGGGTTCTCATGGGTACACAGTACCAGCACCCTTTATTTCTAGAGGAAAAGCACTGAGACAGAGGTTTCGCCATTAAATGGCTGTATGATAGTCAAAGTTCAATTTCATATAGCTTTTCAGGCAGCAGGTGCTGCAACCGTCCAACAGTTTGACTTCACCCCCAAAGGCACATTCCACCATTGTCTCCCAAAACAGACAGATGCCAAATAGTGCTGAGCAAGTGTATATTTTTAATACTATTCATTCATTCATTCATTCATACATACATAAATACCCTACCCATCTGGCTCCTGAAGATCCGAATCCATGTTAGAAAAAAGGCAAAGCTATTTGCAACAATGAACCTGGCCAAACAATTCAGAAGGAAATCTAAAATGTGCGTTCTTAATATTTTCTTGTGGCCAGCATGATTGTCTTCTGAGTAAGCTTAAGATGATAACAGTTGTTGCAGCCGACTTCTGACTTACTTGATCTGGAACAAAACGAAAGTCTCTTTTTGCAATCTCGCTTTGAATCTGCAAATCCACATAACATGGTATGCTTAAAATGACTTGGTGCATGCCAATTAACATATTGCATGTTTTATGAGCTGATCTCCATGTAATTAGGTGATAAGCATGACTCATTATTGCTATCTTTAGTGCCTTGTTTGGAAAATCTCACAAACTCTTTCAAGTCTTTGGGATTACATAACCTATTACATTCTGGCATAATATATATGGTAGCATTTTGCTCTTTAGCCGCCTTTATTATATAAACAAAAGGCCAGACTTATTGCTGCAAAACTTAAAGCTTTCTGTATTATGCCATGGTTGCACTGGAAAAAGAGGGTAGGAAGGGGTTAAGTACGTCTCCTCCCTGTGTACCTTATTCTCTCCTCCTAAAACTGTGAGTCCTTAGAAAAAGTGGCCCTTAGGATCTTGTTAAATGTGTTACCCTGCTCGGCCTAGGCAATGGATGCAATTAACTTCAACTTAGCAATTGAGGAGACAACTGCAATTCCAGTGAAAAAACTGGTAGGGATCCTGTGAATTTAACCCTTTCCCCCCCAGCCTCTGGGGAAGAGGAGGGCCACAAGTGGGCAGAGGAGAGTCAACCTCAGACAGGCCGCAGATGAAATCTGAAAGACCAAAGTCTGCCCCTGACAGCAGGCATCAAGAATCATTCTAGAGGAAGCCTTCTCTGCTACTTCTCTCCATGCTAGGAAACAGTTTCACTTCCTTAATATCTGTTTATTAAGCTGCTATTACAGGTATAGAAGCAGGGGCAGTTTAAAACAGATGGCAACTACTCATGTTGTAGCTTTATAACTACAGAGGAAGCAGAACATAAGCTTCTCCTTCTCTAGTGTGTACATCTGGTCTCCTTTCCCTTCTTGCTGGTCAAAATAATTGGGAGTCCTGCTAGTTATGGCAAGTTGGAGAGAACCAGGGAACGAATGTATGGGAAAAGGTGTAGTAGCCTCATCATGATGATCTAGCAGCCTTTCTCAACCTGTTGATCCCCAGATTTTGTTGAACTACAACTCCCATCACCCCTAGCTAGCAAGGCCAGAGCTCAGGGGTGATGGGAATTGTAGTCCAACAATATCTGGGGACCCACAGGTTGAGAACTGCAGTGAGCAGACCAAGGTTGTTGATGGCACCAAAGCATTCTGTATGGTTCAGACAAAAAGGGCTTGTGAGGATCTCACCAAACTTGGTGAGCAGGAATTAAAATGGCATATGCAATTCAACTTAAAGCAGCTGATGTGCATTGGGGGGAAATAATTATAATAAAACAAAATCCTAACCCCATATGAACTGGCAATGGCTGACCAGGAAAGAGATACTGTACTGGGGTCATGGCAGATAGCTCGCTGTGGATGTTGACCCAGTGTGCAGCAGCTGTGGAAAAGGGCAAATTCCATGTTAGGAATAATTGGTTAAGGGGTTGAAAATAAAACTTGCAAATATCATAATGTCATTATATATGTGTGACTGTTTTTGGAATACAGTGTCCAGTTCTGGTTTCCACACTCTGGAAAGCTTGAAAAATGAAGAATGGTGTAATGGAAATTATTAATGGGCTGGAGCAACTCCCCTATTGGGACTTTTTAGTTTAGGGAGGAAGGAGTAAGAGAGGACATAACAGAGGTGTATAGAATTATGGGGAGCGGGTGGCGCTGTGGTCTAAACCACTGAGCCTCTTGGGCTTGCTGATTGGAAGATTGGTGGTTCAAATCCCCATGACGGGGTGAGCTCCCGTTGTTTTGTCCCAGCTTTTGCCAACCTAGCAGTTCGAAAGCATGCCAGTGCAAGTAGATAAATAGGTGCCACTGTGGTGGGAAGGTAAACAGCATTTCTGTGCACTATGGCTTCTGTCACGGTGTTCTGTTGCGCCAGAAGCAGTTTATTCATGCTGGCCACATGACCCGGAAAGCTGTCTGAGAGGCCTATGGTTGGCCACTGTGAGGACAGGATGCTGGACTGATACAGTGGGGTGGTTCTTATATTCTTAAATAGGCAGCTATTGCTATTGGACAAAAATAGAAAAGGGGAAAAAACTATTGGCAAGTTTCCAGGTTGGTCATGTTCATGCTTGGCTTCAGATGCAAATTATAAGATGCTAATGGCAAACATGTTGAAATGCCTCTGGAGATCAGCTGCTGGGAAGCAACAGCAGCGGAGGGCTGTTGCTTTCATGTCCTGCTCATGGGTCTCCTGTAGGCATCTAGCTGTCGTCTTTGGGAAGAAAGCAGGATGCTCGTTTAGATGGACCACACTGGTCTCATTCTGCATGCATTGGACTCAGCATTTTGCTTAAAAATAAAAGGTCAGTTCCTTTTTCTGAAAGGCTACTTGAAGTCAAGTAGCTTTGTGTTTCTGTATTGTTAACTATTTGGGGGAAATTAATAAGGTATGAACAGAGCTGTGATTTACATGGACAAATGAACTGAGTCAGCATCAGAAGAACGGCTTCAACTTTTATCTGAGACAATCCCTCCCTCCCCCACTTCTGATAAACTAATTGTATGAGACAAATGGATCAAGGGCACTCTTTTCCCCATATCAAATCAGTTTCCACTCAAAGGGGTGCAGCATTCTAAAAATACACAAGACCAGTCACATTGGATAAATATCAGAGGCTCAGCAGAAGACCGGCTTAGGCTTTGTTAATAGTCTTGAAACAAGTTGAAATGTTGTGCAATTGTACCAATTAATACTTGCCACACTCCCACCACACCCATGTCAGGTACAGTAAGTCGTACTAACGGCATTGCAAGAAATGTAGAATCTATTCACTGAAGGCAAAAATAACCCAGTGTGTTCTCTCTCTCTCCTCAACCTTCCTTTGTCCATGACCAAACTGTGAAAGGAAACTTGAGGACTGCTTACATGTCATTAAAGGAGGGCACAGATTTGCATATGTCAATAGATACAAAATTCAAAATAGCAGCAATCTGGCCATCTTGAGGAAGGCTTTGACCAGGGTGTGGCTGTTGAGTGTGCTGTCCTGATGCTCACAGGTTATGGTCAATTTAAAGGTCCCCACCCTTTTGTCTTACGGTTTGTATATTTCAACTGGACCAAACTGCTGTTCAAATAGAGGATGGGATTCCTACCCACCCTAGGAAGAGGTTATCAAATGAGAACCAGGGAAAGTCTGCCCCTTTCCCTTGCAATGGGAGAAAGCTTTAATTTTCAGTGCTTCCCAGGATAGTGAACAAGTTGAAAGGGTCTCTTTTGGTAGCTAACAAAATGAGCAGAGTGGGGACTGAGAATTAGGTATGTGGGGCAAAAGAGGTATGCACCTTTTGGTTGCTGAGATCATGGTTAGGAAGTATTAGCTCTTCTGAGTTTTAAACACACACAAATTGGCCAGTGTGCTCTGTGTACTATTGCTTGTTGTTGTCCAAATTTTAGACTAACTAAACATTAGGTTCATAGACTCTTGCGGCTGAATGACAGATTTGCTTCATGCTGCGATGTCAATTTGTCTCCCTCCTCTTCTGACACTTGATTACTTTTCTGATCTGACAAGCTTCAGCAAGAGGCTTCTTTTGCTTGTGGAGTGGAATTTCCCCCTTCCCTTCTCCTTGACCACAACAGTTCTAAAGCCAACTAAGCTTCAATATTTGGGGCTGATTTAAAATCCGGTTACCTAAGTGCATGCAATACCAAGTTGATTTTTATGCACTCTTACAATCTTTCGAAAATGTCAAAATGTTATTCAACGTATTATGAGCTCCTGTGTGTGCATTTGGGGTGAGATATTTTTGGCCAAAGGCCTGCCTCCTCTGGTCTACTTTCCTCAACGAATCATGAATCCCTTCACATTAACTCTACAAACTTTATAGCTGCACTGATTCATGAATGGAAGCCACCATTTTTAGCTTTGGTGTGTAGAATCTCTAGAGATATCTAATACCTTCTGTAAAAGCTAGGACTTAAAAGTGTTTAAATTGGCTTGTCACGGCTTTTGGGTATACATTACAATAGAGTTCATTGCAACAGCGGAGACTTGTGACAAGACTTCGATTCCTTGTCTTCAGATCAACAGTAACATGGCAGTATCTGAATAGGACTAGTAAGAACCGGGTTCAACTCCACAGTCAACGGTGTGATGTTGGTTCAGTCGCGATCTTATTGCGATGATATAATGGGGAGAACCATGTAGGCCACCTTCAGCTTCTGAGATGAAATACGGGATTATTATTTTTAAGCGTGCCTTCAGTGCGATCCTATGCACGCCTTCTCAGAAATAAGGCTCACCGAGTTATAAAATGAAAAGCGATGGATGACCTAATAAATAATAATAAACGGAGAGGAGGTGGCAACGAACGTGCAATTTAGCCTCTATGTCAGAGCAAAGAAAAACAACGCGTGCGCCTCTGAAGCTGCTTACCATCTCACACACCCCCGCCCGAAAAAAAAAAACCCTCTTTCGGACCGAGCACGTGGCTCTGGCGCGCAGCCAAGCGTGTGCCTGCTCCCTGGCAACCGTGGGAAAAAGGAAGCGCCATCCGCGCTTTCAACCACAGAGGCCGAACCCGCCGCAGAGGCTCGAGGAAGCCCCGCCCCCTTCCCGCCAACCCTCCACCGCATCCCCAGCGTTCCAACCCTCCGCCCTCCTCCTCCAATGTCAGCAAGGAGGAGGGAGGGGGCGGGGCTAGCCGCTCGAGCGGCTCCTCGCACCGCCCCTCGAGCTACGCGCGTGACGTCAGAGAGCGAGAGAGAGTTATGTGCTTCTGTGGCTCGCGCCCGCCTCCTCCTCCTCCTCCTCCTTCCCCGCTTGCGCAATAACGCGGCGTCGTTGTCTTTGCCGTGAGGAGGCGGGAGGAGGGGGGGGAGAAGAGTTGGCGGCGGCGGCGGCGCTGGTAGCCCGGCTGGGATGGAGGACCAGCCGCCGCCACCAGCAGCAGCAGGAGCAGCACAGGAGTCGTTGGGGCGTCGCCTCCCGCGGCTCCCACAACCGGTAAGCGACCCTCCAGCAGCACCAGCAGCAGCGTCTTCCTTTTCCCGACCCTCCGCTTTTCCTCTCTTGCCGCCTCCTCGGCCAGGGCCCAGCTGCGCTCCCCCTTCTCAGCGCCCACCCTCAGGGACGGGGTCGCGGGCGAGGAGGGTCTTAATGCACCCCCCAACCCCCACGGAGGGCGCTTTCTCCTCAGTTGGGGCCGCTTCTCGTGCTCCCTCCTCCTCCTCCCTAACTGCTGCTGCCCCTTCTCGTCCCCTCAGAACTCTTTGCGGGGGGAGGGGGCTTGTTTGTTCCTCCTCCTCTTCTCCCCCCCCCCCACTTCCAAAGCAGCCCTTCTCTGAGTGATCCCCTCTGCCCCGAAATTAATCGCATCCATGGGAGGAGGAAGAGACGGGCAGGGTTGGGGAAAGTCATGGGGGGCATCAGTAGCCTCAAAGTTAGATCTCGTTCTTGGTGATGTTGGTTGCTGCTTTAAGGTTGTGGGTATACTGTATATGTGTACACGCACACATTGTGTGTGTGTGTGTGTGTGTGTGTGTGTGTATGCACACACACACACACACACACGCACCCTTGCACGCATGGGTTTTTAGGCAGGGTGCCGTTTTTAATAGTTTCTATCTTAAACCAGACATACGCTAAAGCGGTGCATTGTGTTTTAAACGGGCTCTTTTGATTTCCTCCCCTCTCCCACCACCTCTCCCGTGCCTTCAGATTCTGCTTTGCAGCGTGCCACCATCGCAAAAGTAAACAGATTTGGGCGGCCAGGGTTGAGATTGCATCTGTGCAGGGGCCGGTTTATTTTTCAGTTGCTGGTCTGGTTTTTCGTTGCTGTTGTTGCTTTAAGTAGGATAGTGTGGGAAAGAGGGCCTCCAACACCATTTGAAGGTGCTTTTTCTCTGTAGCGTTGCCAAGGAGTGGGGTAGTGGTTAACTCAAAAAACTAAGATACTGGCACAGCTGTATTCTGGTTTGCTGTGAATTATTAAAGAATTATTAGAATTATGGGACCAGGACCTGGTGTAAGTGTAGTCAGAGCTGTTGGGAGCAGTGACCATAGTGCTATTAAACTAAACATACTTGTAAATGGCCAGCTGCCAAGAAAATTCAACATGATTACTGTTGGAAACACAAGATGAGGGGGTTGGAAAAAAGGAAATTGAAAAGTCAAGGGGGTCATTTCATTCCAAAATGCTTGGAACGTGTTTACAAATGCAATATTAGATGCTCAACTTGGGTCTGTACTGCAGATCAGGAAAGGTACTGCAAGGACCAAGAAATTGGATAGAGAAATGTTTTGTCCTCTCATAACACTAGAATTTGTGGGCATCCCATGAAGTTGAATGTTGGAAGATTCAGGACAGATAAAATAATGTACTTCATGCAGTGTGTATAGTTAAACTATGGAACTCGCTCCTGCAGGAGGCAGTGATGTTCACCAACTAATATGACTTTCAAAGGAGTTTAGACAAATTCATGGAGAACAAGGCTATGCTCTGCCTCCGCTATCAGAGGCAGTATGCCTCTGAATACCAGTTGCTGGGAATCTGAGTCCTCCATGTGGGTTTTCGCACTGAGAAAAGGATGCCAGTCTAGCTGGGTCATTGGCCTGATCTTGCAGGTTTTTTATGTGTTCTTAGGAACAGAATTTCACATTGCATCTGAGTGGAAGGAAAGACTGTTTGTATCATGGGATGTATTATGGAACAGTTGCAGATACTGGAAAAACTTGAGTGGGAGGGATTCTTCTACAGTTGTCAGTGTCTTCTGATAGTTTGCTAACCAACAGCCTACACTGTTCCTTGCATTTGTAATCCATTAGGTGTACCATTGATGTGTAAATACTTAAAACCCTTGTTGATTCCAGTGATCATGCTAGGGGAGAGCAGAAGATCCTCCTCAAGTGCTGCTCCAGAGTAAAGTGACTTCTATTAAATTGGTTACCCTAATTCTTCCTGGTTTGTTGCTCCTTAAGCAAACCTTTCCCTTTTTAAAATAAATGTAATAATATTTCCAAGCAGAATTAGAAGTTTAATAGGTCTCTAGCATGGGAAGCTATTAAAAGAATTGGAACAGAAAATGTTACCATGGGAGACAGCTTTGAAGAAGTGATGTGGCATTCAATGATTTGGATTTGATGTACTGATTTGGTTGCTTTAGAACAGGCATGTCCAACAGGTAGATTGTGAAAACAAAAAAATTCCTTCCAGTAGCACCTTAAAGACCAACTAAGTTAGTTCTTGGTATGAGCTTTCGTGTGCATGCACACTTCTTCAGATACCAAAGTATCTGAAGAAGTGTGCATGCACACGAAAGCTCATACCAAGAACTAACTTAGTTGGTCTTTAAGGTGCTACTGGAAGGAATTTTTTTGTTTTGACTATGGCAGACCAACACGGCTACCTATCTGTAACTGTAGGTAGATTGTGATCTACCAGTAGATCACTGGGCATCTGCGGTAGATCACTGGTTGATCATTGGCTCCCCCCAAAGAAGCTGAACAACTGTGGCTCCCCTAAAAAAAGCTCAACATTTTACCTCCTCCCTGAAAAAACTCAACAACTTTGACCTGAACCCAAAAAAGGGGGTAGATCACTGCCAGTTTTAAACTGTTAGTAGATCACAGTCTCTTGGGAGTTGGCCACCCCTGGTTTAGAAGGAAATAGTTTGCACTGAGTAAAGCAACCTTGTGTTAGTCTGCACCCACACTAGGACTTTACTGTGTATATGGGTTGTTGCTCTGTGTGTGCACAAAGGTATTTATCTGTGCATGCACAGTTTTATTGTTACTTTTTTAAAATTTCCGGTTTTTTTATATACTAGATCAAAGAGAAAAATGATACACCAGGGTATTTAAACAACCCAAAATGTATGGGTGTGGCCTTAACAATGATGAAATTGCTCCCCTCATCTGTTGTTTGCCATGGGAAGCATAGGAGCCACCTCCTAAGGGATTGTGGGGGCTGGGCCTCCACAAAGTTGATGGGCATTCCCATTCAAATGGTGTGTGTGCACTGCATCATGTGTTCAATTATGTAGGGCGGGGTTTAACTGGGCCCCCACAATATTTTACTCAAGTTGGCACCCTTGCTGGGGAGGAAGTTTCTCTAGGTACTAGTATTGTGGAACTTATGATATGTAATTAGTGTCAGGATAAACACAAGGCCTTAATCATTTTAGCTGTTCCTCCTATTTTGTTAATCATACAAAACTGGATGGATTTGGATTGTAAGTAATAGTGCTATATCTTCCCTGTGGCCCTAGTTGATTTTATTATCTTTTGAATGTTTTTAAATAGCTGTTTTTAACAGTCTTTTATTGTTAATCTTAAGGTTTGTTTTTGTTTTTAGTAAACCGCTTAAAGGTGTGTGTTTTTTGTTTGTTTTTTACAATCAAGCAGTATATACATTTTGTGAGACTGTGTGTATGTGTTTCTGTGTGAGACAGTAGACTAATTAATTCAAAAGCTCAATGGTCATGTAACTGGTAATCCTCACCTTCTGCATCAGATTCTGTTTTCACTTGACTAAGCATGCATTTGTGATGTTGATCATTGCACAAGCACTTATTCCTGTGCAAGGAAACACTTTAAGACTTACTTTGAGACGGATCCACATTTTTATAAGAAACGGGGAATCACCCATACCCAGGTTGTTCTTATGACCACTGAGTTTTACCTAATTGCATCCATGTGTGAGTAATTGGCCTTGCCCTTCCTCTTCCCTTTAGCCGATGGGGGGGTGTGGGGCACTGGGAGAAAGGGGCAGTCCAGTTGTGTGAATGGAATGCCACTCAAGTGACATTGGATTTCACCCACTATATTTAAAAGCAACGCTTTAATTTTGGAAATCCCATTACAGCAAGGAAGCAATATTTTTTAATGCTTGTGATCAGATCTCATAGCTTACCAAATGTGCTCTTTGCGGATATCTAAAATAGTAACACTTGACAACTAGGTTAAAGTAGTGCTGTTGCTGCAACTGTTGGTTAAAGAGCCCAGAACACTTGGATAATGTAAGCGTTATATATAAATGCTTTCTTTCCTTGCCTAGGTTTTGCTTTTCTCTGGCAGAACAGAGACTAGGACAGTGAAGGGAAAAAATGGTGTGTAAATTGAATGTAATCTGACAACATTTCTTTCCTCCGAAGGAGTGCCAAAAGCCCTTAATGACACATGGTTGCATCTAAATACAAATAGCTAAAAACAAATAGCTAAAATGTAAGGAACATTGGAGATGAAATTAGTTGAATATGCACATGTGCACTGAAGCATTGCAATTCTGATATTCTGGTGCTTGCATAACTGACCTCACTTGAACTGGGCTAGACATTTCTAAAAGATTTTTAAAAGAATTCTGGCTTTCTGTACATATAAATTTTTACAACTGCTTTTCTTGCATGGCAGGTGGTGGTGTATTGCCTTTTTAGAGCTTGAGATTCTGAAGCACAGTAGATAAGTATTTTCTGCAGACAAAAGCATGTTAGGGGTGACTGAGTAATGCCTGATTCTATCACTACTATGGAATTATCAGCAAAAAGTTCATTCACTATTAGAATGAAGTTACAGGGAACAAGGCAGAGGGCCTTCTCAGTAGTGGCACCCACCCTGTGGAATGCCCTCCCCTCAGATGTCGAGATAAATAACTATGCAACTTTCAGAAGACATCTGAAGACAGACCTGTACAGTATAGGAACATGTTTAATGTTTGATGTTTTATTATGCTTTTATATTTGTTGGGAGCTGCCCAGTGTGGTTGGGCCAACCCAGTCAGATGGACTGGGTACAAATTATAAAAATTATCATCATCATCATCAATTACTCAGGAGTAGCTGCCACAAAACCCAGTTATTCCCCAACTGTGAACCAAGGTCACTGCAGAGCTATGGTGATTCTTCATGAATAGGGAAGCATTCATTGGAGTCCACAAGTCACCACCAGCTATTTAACCCTGTGATTCCCATATGCTTCTCTGACAGTTATAAGATAGATTGTCAAATGTT